TAGATAGGTGATAGATAGATAGATGATAGATAGATATAGATAGATAGATATAGATAGACAGAGATGATAGATAGATAGATAGATGATAGATAGATAGATATAGATGATAGATGATAGATGATAGATGATAGATGATAGATGATAGATGATAGATAGATAGATAGATAGATAGATAGATAGATAGATAGATGATAGATAGATAGATAGATAGATAGATAGATAGATAGATAGATAGATAGATAGATAGATAGATATAGATAGATAGATATAGATGTAAAATCTGCAACCTTCTGAGATCACTATGAGATTCTTTCACTGAAAGCTTATCTTTAGAAATTATTTAAATTAGAATTAAATTAGAATGTTACCATGGACACATGTCCTCTGCTTGCACTAAATTCTTTGCTCAGAGGTAAACCTAGGACAGTCCCAAATACTGTATAATTTGGCACTCATGGAGACTGCGGTGGATAATGGCCTTTACTACAGAGCTATGAAATGCCTGCGACTTGGACCTGCTTCATATAATCAGAGATGGAGAAATACTGTACACCGTGAGGTCATCTTTGTGCATGCCATGCAATGTAACATAACATCAGATGTTGCAGCAGCCAGCCAGCCACACAATGTGTTCATTCACTTCACTGCTTCTGTCCCTGAGGCGAAATGGTGTCTCCTGTTTAGGCATTGGTACAGTCACTCATCCAGCATTTCCCCCCCTTCTTTGCTGTGGAGGTGGCAAGGGGTGGGGGGAGTGAATTTAGCAGGACTCCTCCTCTCCAGTGACTTATGGTGTTTTGCGTTAGGCTAGACATAAGGCAACATCTCCCACTTCTCCATCGATAAAGAACTAAGGGGGAAAGTGCCTGAGAAACGGTTTATCATGGGAAGGGGGAGCAGGGTAGACACCACACAGCTTAACTCAGAACGAAAAGGTGAAATCCTCTAGAGAAAGAGCAGGAAAAGGAATTTCCTGCTGGAAAGATATGTAGCCCAGATCCACAATGCATTAGTTATCAACAAGGTTAGGGCTATATCCTGGCTGTTGCTGGAATGAAGGGGTAAAGTACTGTCAAATATCTCTGTTGCTCTTCGTTAGGAGTGCAGGGTTCACAACCCCAAAATGCAAAGCAGGACTTAACATGTGAGCAACCACCCCAGTGGGGCACTTAACTCGCAAGCTGGGGAGGGAAAGCCTTCAGCCTGCTGCATTATGACCTTTCCTTTCAAATGGATCCCCTGGGGTGGAGGGAAGCTGCAGCTCGTGGCATGAAGGGGCAGATGCATAACACACTAGAGGAGCACTTGCTTCATTTAAACTAATAATAAATAAATAAATAAAATAAATAAAAATAAATCCCTCATTTGGTTTTCACTTTGGGATTAGGTACAGACAGCAGCAGCTGTTTCCAAAGCTTTTTTTTTTTAAAGGAATATCATTTGGTTCAAATGTATTTTGTACACAACTATCATTTCTTTCTGCCAAAGAATCTAATAATTGCAGCCGGGGGGGGGGGTTAGCAAGGGGAAACCCTGCTAGAAAGAGGTACCTAGAGGTTTGCAGGGTTCTTTATGTAGAGGAAATTACTTAAATTACTTAGGATGTTGATAAACCCCCTAGGAGTAGATTTGGATAACTATTTACAGCTTGTAAACTCACTCAAAGGCAGCTGAAACTATCTAAACGGGGGGGGGGGGAGTCAACATGGCACACCCCAAATGTCACTGGACTACAACTCCTACAATCTTGGACCACCAGCCATGTTGAATGAGGCTGATGTGGGAGTCAGAATCCAACAACATCTGCAGGGCACCATGTTGGTTAGCCCTGGCGAAGACAGTGTGTAAAATACAGCCATGCACATCTCCTGAGAGCTGATTGGACAAGTACAGAAAAGGCCACCTCCTTTTGTGTGGCCAAATGGTGCACAGGCCCAGTATAAAACACTCAAGGAAAATCAATCTGCAGTTTTATATGCACTACACTGAGATCATGGACCACTTATAAACACCATCTCCAACTCCTCGAAAGATTCCATCAATGGTGTCTCTGAAAATTTTTGTACATCACTTGGGAAGACTGGGGAACGAATGCCAGTGTACAAGAAGCAAAGATCACCAGTATTGAAGCAATGATTCTTCAACATCAATTTTGTTGGACTGGTCATGTTGTTCAGATGCCTGATTATTGTCTGCCAAAGCAGCTACTTGATTCTGAACTTAAAAATGGAAAGCGTAATGCTGGTGGTCAACAAAAGAGGTTTAAAGACTCTCTCAAGAGAAATCTAAAAAAAAATGTAGTATAAACACCGACAACTGCGAAACACTGACATGTGAGTGCTCCAGTTAGAGAACAGCCTTTACCAAAGGTGTCATGGGCTTTGAAGACACTCGAACTCAGGACAAAAGGGGGAAATGTGCTACGAGGAAGGCATGTTTGGCAAACCCTCACTGTGAAAAACTCCCACCCAGAAACCTATGTCCCCACTGTGGAAGGATGTGTGGATCCAGAATTGGCCTCCACAATCATGGACTCACTGTTAAGACCATGCTCCATGGAAGACAATCTTACTCAGCAACAAGAGATTGCTGAGGAGGAAGAAGAAGAAGAAGAAGATCATATCCTGTACTGTGTTGAGTTTGTGTGCCTTTATATATAGACACACACATAGCCATTCTGCACACAGGCAATGAATCTGAAAGCAAACCAGACATTCCGAGCTGCTTATGATACAGCAGTACCAAAGAACTCTACCGGCGCCACTACTTGAAAGACATTTCAAATTCTCACAGCATGCAAAGCTGCCATGTCAGGAAGAAAACTAAGGTAGAATCTTTACGGGGGTGAGGGTGGGTGGTAGCAACTGCCTTGCACACTGATATAGTCCCAAATTCAATCCCCAGCATCTTCAGCTAGGGCTGAAAGTGTCTCCTGTCTGAAACCCCTGCAAGCCACTGACTTGCTACAAGGCAGCCTTCTCTGCTCCTAGGACTACATCTCCCAGACATGGCAAAGCTTTGCATAGTCAGGGAGAACTTAAATCTGAGGAGTTTTCAAGTAAGCAACACGTGTGCACATGGGCACTGTTGCTGGTTTGTATCACTCAGTAATCAGTTCCACTTAGGAAGAGGTAGGCCCTAGAATGTAGAAACATGGTGAAACTGATACTAAACATTTATGGGTCCATTTCAGTCAACACAGGGCACTTTTAACTCAATAGGACTTCCTTCTGGCTGCACTGTAAAAAGGGTTTGATTGGATGGCATTGTTTATTTGCAACATATCAATCAATACGCCCCATCTTCCTTGAACGAAGTTGGCACTTCGTCATTCAGATAGTACTGGTTTATACTGCCCAATGAATCACTGGGAATTATACAGAGCATTAAGAAATTATATTATTGATTACGACATCAATATCTGGAAATAGTTCTTACTCTTGTATGTTTTATTCTCCAGGAATAAAAATGCTGAAGATGTTGGTGTATTTAGTTTCTGACCATAGATCTAGCACCAATTTATAGGTCTCTGCCCCGCGGAACATACAGCAGGGGGAAAGGAAAGTAACAGGAGAGGTGCAGATACCGTCATATGTATGTAGGCCACAATCCTACCTGCTTCCCTGGGTGTAAATTCCATTGAATTGTATGGAGCTTGCTTAATAATAGAGACCCATAGGATTATGCACTGTTAGGCTTCCTGTCAGTACAACATGAGACTCCTCTGAGTCGTGGGACATTGAGCAAGATTCCTGCATTGCAGAGGGTTGGACCACAGCTGGACTAACTAGGCAAATGCATTTTTGAGGAGGAATTTCGAGTTGAAGGAAAAAGAAGCAGAACCATGTAAGTGTAACGTATAAGGAGCAAGGAGAGCATGAGCTGAAGCCAACTAAATCAAATGCAGAGCAGACCCACTGAAATCACTGGACCTGATTTGAATGGGCGATTCTGAGCATGATTTAGTTGGCTACAGCACCATGTTTAGTACAAACCTGGGGAGTGGAGGGTGGGGAATAAAAGTGTTTCCTTTTGTAAGGCTGCAATCCTGCACACACTTGCTAAAGAATAAGCCCCACTGGTCTTAGTTATGGTGAAATATGCACTGGCTTGCTTTGTACATTCTAAGTCAGAAGGAAAGGACTTTAATATGAATTGGTCTTCTCTCTTGCAAATGCCCACCCAGCAGCTGAAGATCTCAGCTTTGGAACAATGCTGTCAAGTCCCTGAGCATTCCAACAGGCCTCTAAGAAAAAAAGCAGAAATATTGCAAATATGAAGTTGAAGCTCCCAGCCTGGGTTTAAGCTCAGGAGAGAGGACAAGATAATATGCCTGTGCATATGACGGAGAGCATGCTCAGTGCAGCCGCGGTGTCTCACTGTACAGGCTAAGCAGCGAAGTGGATTAATCGGGATTGTGGGAAAGCGGGCGGGGATGGGGGAGCATGATGAGAACTGACATAATTCCACATCTCCATTGCCACACACATTCCGCTTGTTGTCCTGGCTGCATCTCTTTCTCTCCCGTTCCCCACCCCCTTCTAAACACGTAACAACCCTGCTGCTGAATTAACTGTTGCATTATGTGCGAGGAGACACCGGAGAAGCAATTCCTCCGGAGGGAGCCAGGAAATGTCAAGCACACGCGCGCCTTTCCTGCATCTCTCTCCACGCCACCCACCCGCGAGGCGAGATCTTTCGCGCAAAGTGCGTAATAACAGGCATGTTTCCAGAACCGCGATGAACATTAAGTTCATCATGCCTGCTGCTGCGTCTGTTTCGTTGCAAACCTCGGCGGCAGCCTTCGAGAGGGGCGTTCATGTTCCCCCGTTTCCCACTCAGCAAGCAACCATGCCTAGTGCAAAAAAAGGGGGGCGGCGGAAAGGGAGAAGGGAAACGCGGCGCATAGCTGTAGGAGTGCACAGGCCGCTCGCAATTACGCACCCCGAAGAACCGCAGGAGAAAGAGTAGCGGGAACGGAGGGCTCCAAAGCCACTAACCTCAGCTTGGGCCAGGCAGGCAGGCAGGCTTCTCCAAAGCAGATTTCCCTCACAGGAGCGAGGACAAATCTCAGTCCGTTCCAACCTTTATCCTCGGCGCCACCTCCCCTAGAGCACAAGAAGGAAGCCTCGGTCGGTGCCAAGCGCCGCCAAATCGCGCCTTCTTCACTCCAGCGCAGCCAGGAACACGTCTGGCCGAGCCTTGCAGTGCAGCGCCGCTACTGCGGGAAACATCCCTCGTTCAGACTGAGCCGCTTGGGGGATTTAAACGCGCAAGGCTCCCTAGTGGTCGTCGTCGTCGTCACCGCCACTACCTCCGCCACTTCTGGGGCCCGGGAAAGGGGAGTGTCCTCGCTGCTTCCCGCGTGGCGAGGAGCCGCATCGCGCCGTCGTCTCCGCGCACCGCGGGCAGGCGGAGTTTGGGCAGGCGGAGCGCGCACTCCCCCGCTAGGGTCTGCAACCCGCGCGGCGCTCTGCAGGCTCCTTGGCTGGCGCGTTGCAGGTCGGAGGCTGGGATCCTGCACCGAGGGCTGGAGGAAGAATTCCTTTGTTTTGAGGCCGTTTCTCTTTACCGCGCTCGTCTTCGCGGCGCGCACGCAGAGCAGCCTGCCAAGGGCGCCGGAGCCTCGCCATGCGCGGCCCTGGTCTGGGTCACGTAACGTTGCGCGCCGGGCGGATGACCCTTTGTTTATCCCCGCCCGCCGTCGCCCTGTTAAACATTCCTCTGGGTTTGCTGAGAAAGTGGCACAGGGTTCAACGGGGCTTACGCCCGTGTAAATCTACATAGAACTGGGTGCACCCTTAAATATTTGTTCAGTAGCTTTAAAAAAAGAAAGGAAGAAATCAGCCTCGGGTAAAACTGGCCTCCTCGCCCACACCCTTTTTGCTTTAGTACTTGAGAAAAGCAAATATTGCAAACTTGTTGCTGCCCACGCTGCAAAATAGCAGCTACTTGTCACACAGTGACACAATCCGAAACGCTTTGGCTTTAAACCTGTGGCTGGCACTCTTACTTAACCTTTTAGCAGGACAGAAAAGATGGGGTGGGGTGGAGGGTTTATAGCCCCTGCTGTTTGCTGGCCTAACGCGCCCCTGCGCGTTGTCGCAAATCCCATTATTTGGAGGAGCTTCTTTTGTTCGGAGCGAAGAGGACAAACCCTGAGACAGCTTCCATACTGGCTACATATACAGGGTGGCTCCGTGCGCTAGGAAGGCAAATCAAAAGCAAACCCCGCAAAGGGGAAGTGATTGGCATTGTTTGACATGGAACGACAATAGGTAGGGAGGAAATAGGAAATGTCGCAGCAGATCAAAGCATGCCGCTCATCACTGAACATCGCCACAAATGCTAACCGGGCATCTTTGCTCCTGGAGCCTATCATGCAGAGCGGCAACCCATCAAGCAAAGGCAAATCGAATTACCACCCACAACGGGGAATAACAGGTGAATTTGGGGGGAAGTGCGGGTAGGCATACAAGGATTTATATTTTTATTCTATGCTTCTTTTTCTTCTCAAAGATAAAAGTTTAATACAAACCAAATGGCAAGAGAAAGCCAATTCACACATGCCTGCACAACAGTTAGGAGCACATAGCAAACTGCAGCTAAATGTACTGATGCCACTAAAAAGCCTTGCATTTGGGAGACGTCATAGAATTGTAGAGTTGGAAGGGACCCTGAGGATCATCTAGTGCAACGTCACTGCAATGCAGGAATATGCTGCTGTCCCACACAGGAATTGAACCTGCAGCCTTGGCACTTTCAGCACCATGTTCTAACCAACTGAGCTATCCAGAAGACATGTTGATGAAAGTTCTTGTTTGTGTTTGATGTATGAGGGCTCATTCACAAATACAGTCCTCAAGTGACAATAGGTGTGCATGCATAAAGGAGTCTGCATTCCTCTGTAGCAGTCTATGGACTGTGGAATGGAAACAACTAAGAAAGACTTGGTGCAATAGCCAATAGGCAGGAGAAATGGTGAACAAGCACACACACTCTTCTCTCTCCATAATATTATATAGTATTGAAACAGGGGCACGGGAGGCATTGTAGATGTTATTGGACTATCCATGCCACATGACTTTTAAATGATATCAAGGCATGACCCACTAGAACCAGAGAGTGCTCCAATATTAGGGCTGTATAAACTGATGGATGCCTTCCACATTCTCCTTTCCAGTCTCTTGCTACCTTGTAGCAGGCCTGTTGTTGTCATGTGAATCGGTGCCTACCTGCAAGACCATGCCCAACCATGGCATGTCATTCCCATCACTATCAATTGCCTTTCCTCATTCATCCACTGTACACAGATTGGTCGTCAGTTTGCTTAGTAGGTTCTTGGGCAAAAAGCAGCAAACAACAGATGATACCCCAGAAGACATTCCTTGTAAGTGGGTATAGGGAGATTATGAAAACAAGGAGAAATAGAACTTGAACTTTATCAACAAAGCCACCTCTGTGCATTCTTCCTACCCACAGTTCTTTCCATTATGCCCCTGTCATTTCTGGTTGCATGTCATATGTTAAGCATCCCACATGCTACTTAAATCTTGGTCTTCCTTCTCCATGTATAGATTTAACACTTGGGGGATGAGCCTGTGAAGCCCCTCAGATGTGGCTGGATTCCAACTCACATCAGCCCCAGCAATATGACCAGGGACCAGCCAGTATGGTCAGTTCTAGTGGGTCATGCCTTGATATCATTTTAAAGTCAGACCATTCAGGCCTCTTGCTTGATCTTTTATAGAGCAGAAGCTCAGTCTAAAGTAAAACATTAGCCAGCATTTATTTATTTTTAAACCAAGTAGTCAAGATAGCACACACGTTCACAAACACCCACTCACATTATGTAAAACATTTGGAGTTTACACACCTGATTTTCTCCATTTTCCCCAAGTCACCCTACAATAAAATACTGGGTGATGGGAAGCACGAAACATGCATTCGGATGAGACATCAACATCTGTTCTACAACCTGATTTTTAGCTTTGGTGAACTCACGTTGACCTGACTTGTGGAGCCTTCCAACCCAAGCTGGAAGGAGTAGTGTTCAGGGGTGGAGGGAGAGATGAGAAGAGCCACAGGTCTTTTTATATACAGTAGTGCTGTGCTGAAATCTGTCCTCCAGTTTTTTCCCTCTGGGAAGAGAGGCTTTCATTTTCCTGACTCATTCTCACGGTGTTACAGAATTTCAGTGAGTGCAGGGATGCTCGATTATCATTGCAAAGTGGCCGTGGGTTGGCTTGTTTGTCTTCTCTTTGCAGCCAACATTCCTCAAAGCCTTCCACAACCTCTCCCAGCTACCCTTCAGCTCAACACCCTTTAACCCCTTTCCTTCCCAATGCCCTGGTTCTTTTCCTATTCTGCATCCCTTGCCTTTATTTATTTTTTCGTTTAACCCTCCCCCACTATTCAGAAGGAGGGGAGTTTGTTGTATTGTCTATTGAAACTTATTTGCCCTCGTTAAAGGTTGCAATCCATTCCATTCCCATCAGAAGGTTGGCGGTTTGAATCCCCGTGACAAGGTGAGCTCCCGTTGCTCGGACCCTGCTCATGCCAACCTAGCAGTTCGAAAGCACGAAGTACAAGTAGATAAATAGGTACCACTCCAGAGGGAAGGTAAACGGCATTTTCGTGCACTGCTCTGGTTCGCCAGAAGCGGCTTAGTCATGACCCGGAAGCTGTACGCCGGCTCCCTCGGCCAATAAAGCAAGATGAGCGCCGCAACCCTAGAGTCATCCATGACTGGACCTAATGGTCAGGGGTCCCCTTATCTTTACCTTTCCCCATGCACAGGATTGTAAGCCATTAATTTTCAATGCCAGCATTTGAAGTAGAGCCAACTGAAGTAGCTCTAGTGGAGAAGTAGCTCTAGAGGTGAAGTAGCTCTAGGGAGAAAGTTTTTAGTGTAATAAAATGGACATACATTAGCTAGTATCTGATATAATTAGAATGAAGCTAGTATACAGTCATACCTTGGATTCCGAACACCTTGTGAGTCGAACGTTTTGCCTCCCGAACACTGCAAACCCAGAAGTAAGAGTTCTGGTTTGTGAACATTCTTTGGAACCCGAACGTCTGATGCGACTTCTGTGGCTTCTGATTGGCTGCAGGAGCCACGTTTTCATTCCATTCGACTTCTGAGGTACAACTGTACATTAATTAGAAGCACTGATAAACTGTGACTATAATCCTTTGGATTTCAATAGGGAAAGGCTAAGCCCATATTTCATTCTGCGGACATCAGTGTGACTTGAAGGCAAATGGAATTGTGCTCTATACTATTAATATATTCCACTATATACTAGCTATAAACAACAATGAAACCTTATGTCAGCATGTGATCTGAAGGCCGTCACCTGTAGCACTTCCATAGGATGTGGATAGAATGTATTGTTGCATGCCAGCCCAAACTCTGTGCGGTGCAAGATCCCCAGGGTTCAAGGAGCTTACCCAGGGTTCGGTTTCCTTGGAATGAGGGACAGTAGAGACTGTGCTGTCTTTGTGATATATGGTTCATTTACACATATATACAACCTGGGCCTATGATGGAAGGGCTCGCAGCATCAACACCCAAGAAGGCCTTGCTTCTCCCAGCAGAAATCAGGCACTGCTCTGTCTCCCAGCTGCCCAGCCTACAACCTTGCTTTTAGCTTCTACGTCACCCCTCCACTCTGGCCTTTGTCTTTCAGAGCCACTTCCTTTGTTACCTTAATGGCCCATACTTAGAGGGCAATTACCCCACAGGAAGCTAGCCTGGCTATTCCAGGAATTAAATCCATGCTGGATCCAGGAATTTGAAGGGGGGCTCAGGCATACAGCCTGCCCGTCCCTCCAAAAAAAAAAAAAAAAAAAAAAATCACAACAGCATAATAGAAACCTAATTCTGAATATTCTGGTTCACATACTCATACCTGGAGGTGTCTCATAGCAGTTCCTCAAAATCCCAAATCTGCACTGTCCCAAAATGGTTAGTGACCCCCCCCCCACCGCCAGCATAACCTATGAAATTATTCTAAAAGAAAATGCATGGGGACATGAAGCAGCACAAAATGGCGGCCACACCTAAAAGAGTAGGGAAAGGAACAGGACCACAAAATCATGTGGTCCTCACAGCTAACCCAACAATGGAGGGGAAAGGCGCCTACAACAGCCACTGCTGCTCAGAGAAAGAAGCCTCTTTGCACTTCAGAATGGGAGGGTGTCCAATCCTGGCATCCAATGAAATATGGGCATATCGGCAGGGTGTGTGTTTTCAATGGAGGAGATGCCAGGTCTGCACAAACAGGAACTGAGCAGAAAGAACGTCGTCTTCTGCACCATGGATTTTTGAGGTAATAATAATAATAATAATAATAATAATAATAATAATAATAAAAAATAATTTTATTTATACCCCGCCCTCCAGAGCCAGGGCCGGGCTCAGGGCGCCTAACACCAAATATAAATTACAATAAAACGTAATAGGGGAAAAAAACCTGTTACTTAAAATATGGCTTAAAATACAGCTTAAAATGCAGCCTCATTTTAGTAGTAGCCCACAAATCAAGCCCATAAAGGGAGGAAACATCAGATATCCACCCAAGCCAGCTATCCATGCTGGTCCTACATGGGCCAGCAAAAAAGCCAAGGGAAAATTTATATACCAAATCCCATATAAGGGGTCAGAGTGAGTCTACGCCAAAGGCATTTACTGAGACATTTGATGTGAGCCATAGAACATGGGTATCACGCTGGCATCCCAATATACGCCATCTCTCCTCTCCTGGCTTATTAGCACAATTTTACACAGCCCATCAGCCATGGATCCAGCCTACCAGGTTACTTGACCAATTCCATGTTTGCAGCCTCAGGCTCAAAGGATCCTCAGGAGGCTTGTTTATCTTCCCAGCTGTGTAAATGCTTTGAAAAAGAGGGAGGGTGGTGTTATTATGCATTTGTTAGGGCTGCTATCCAAAACCAGGATGGGCTATTTGAGAACCATGTGGCAAAGTATTATTGCAAAAGCGCCACACTGTTATCATGTTATGGGAGAATCACAGCACCTCCATGCTTCCCAAGTAATGATGTGCACTGTAAACAATAAGCAATTGAAGCACCAATGCATTAAAATAAATGGCTTGGAATATCTGGCTACATATATATTTTTTGTGGACACTGCCAGCCAGAACACAACAAACTACACAAACCCTTTTGTAGGCTTTTAACTCATAAAATAAGAAAGGTTAATATAGTTTTGAGGAATGGTTTATTCACAGTTTTCTTTATGAAATATTTTTTTCTGAGTTTATTGTAGACATAAATACAAATCTTATGGCTCAGGTTATATCACATACTGTTAGATGTTAGAAAATATTTAATGTGGTATAGTGGTTGTACACTCTTCCCTTCCTCCTATTTTTTTCTTAGGATTTTTGCACTTGCAAGTGGAAGCCGAAGCAAAATCTGGTCCACCTAGCAACATGTTTATTTTTATATATGCCCGTTTACTCTAGAAGTACATTACCACTGGCGTGCACCCAACACTGAAGCAATATAGCACAAAGTTTGCAATATATCGCAAAGCAAATGTATCTTGCACTTGGTTACTTGTTAGCATTTTTATCTATATACAATTACATAAGATACTTTAAAGCTGTTCTTTGCCATGCTACCTAGCAGCGCAAATGTCTTTCAGAAGATTTGCAGAAGTCTGTGTTTGGCAGCAGTCAGCAGCTGGGATCCAGAGATCTGCAACTTTTTATCCTTTGAGCAGGTGAGCCCAAGGCCACAGCGCAAACTTATTTTTGAAAGTCCCTTCGGTTTCAAAAGCAATTCTGTATGTGCTGCACGCACGGGGATGGGGTGTTGTTCAAGAAAGGCAAGTTCAAAGGGGTCAGAGAATTTTTAAACATCTCTTTGGATGAATGGAACCAAAAGTCAGCAAGGCTATTCAGGGCAGGAAACTGAACCAGCTACATAAATCTCGGAAGCAGGTAAATTCGGTGCATACGTCATGAGAAAGAAGGTCGATCCTGCTCTTGTTTATGATAGTGGAAGTTATTCCTTTGGTTTTTCCAAATGAATGGTGCACACAGTGGGTCCAAGGAAAAGGCATACACAAGTTCCATGGAAATACGTTGGTTTTAGGAATGACCAGCCTTCTCCTACATTGTGCTCAAACGTGTCTTGAAACCAAAAGCAGTACACAAGCTTAAAAACAGTTCTTCTAGTACATTTGGAAGACTGGGTTGGTTGGGTTTTTATTAGGAATTGATTTGGCAAGCTGGGACAGTGATTAATATTTCCAGCTTCCATAGATGGCATCAGCACTTTTTGTTGATGTCAGCCCACTGCTCCAGTAAAGGACACAAGGGGTCACTAGGATATTGTTTGCTGTCAGGTACAGCAGGGGTGAGAGTCAACTGAATCTCTGAATATCTAGTTCCATGCTCCAGCTATTGGCACTTGCATCTTGTCTGTGGTTAGTTCCTTGTCCACAAATGGAACACACAGGTTTTGCTGTGACGTATCTCCCCAGGCACCAATAATTCAAATGTTACACTACTGGCAGACGTAGAAGCGTGAACCACTTTCACATCCTCTTTGCCAAGTGTGAGCAGCAGACTTCACACTCGCGGGATCTACATTTATTTTCTGTTACAGCTCAAGGTACACCAGCCGGGGGAACATGTGCAAAACAGTGGCTCGGGGATGAAGCCAGCTGCCCACGAATATAGAAATAAAAGAGGGCAGGGGGCTTTTCAATTGTTAAAACATCTGGGAATCAGAAACGGTTGCCCATCCACTGCAAATCAACCAGCAATATAGCAGTAGATCACAAAGTACCTTCTATCCAGCCCTGCTCAATCTCAAGTAAACCCAAACCACCTTCCTATTTTGCCCATTTGGTTAAGTGCCTGGGCTTATCATCTGATGATCTTAAGGCCATTCTAAATCTACACTTACAGTAAATGGTCATAATATATATACAGTGCAAACTTTCCCCACTGGAATTCTCCCTGCATCAAGGAGTGACCTCAGAGTGATACAACATTCCTGCTGTGATCCGAGTACATGGGTACAGCAAGTTACACCAACACCAGTTGCTATTCCATCCCATGCTGTGAAAAGGGTTGCTATCATTGATCAAATAAACCCGTCCAGGGAGAGGCATGGTCAAACATGATCCATAAGACGGCCCCATTATGCAGCGGTCAAGTATCAGGAGGGTTTCAAGACATCACAGAGGCCCACCGCTTGTGAAACGGCTTGCAGGAATGCATACAGCTGTCATGACTTCTGGACTAGAGGTTGAAAGCCCTGGTCTTGTAAGTTGGCTTGGCTGCAAGTTGTTACCATTTCTCAACAGTCATGGCAACATCAGGGACTGCTGTGTTGCCTATACCTGAATCCCAAGTGTGCATTATTACGGCTAAATGGGAACGTAAGTTATAAAGCAAAACAGGATTGTGAAATTTGCTCTAAACAAAATGACCTCCCACCCCTATTGCTTGTAAATAGAATGCTTCTTCTCATAGATATTAGGCATCGGGCTTGGCCTGTGGTCATGGCAAATGTACACTTCAATTGATTTCAGGTCAAAGCTTGCATTAATAATGTGCACTTCTAGCGAACATTCATGTATTCGGATAGTGCTGAACTCTGCTACTTTATGGATACATAATCTCATAATTTGTTTTGCTATTTGCCCCCCCCCCAAAAAAATTATTCATGTACAATAAAATGGAGCACATTCTACTGCCAGCAACAGAATATGCTATAAACAAAAGAGCACCAAAACATGAACTACTATTTGTACCTACTAACATCTGTATTCATGTTATTTTCTTCTATCTATTGGCAATGACCAAACAGTTAAAAAAAAAAGCAAACAAAAACCCCACACTTAAATAAGTAAAAAGGGTAAACCATGTAGTTTTGTGTGTCAACATTTTCTGCAATGTTTTTTTTTTTAATACTGAGCATTAAAAATAGTATTAGCTGTTTGCTTCAAGGATATAAATCTAAATTACTATTTGACTCAATACACCTTTCTTTTCTTTTCTTTCTTTCTTTTGGTCTGAAGAAATATATTACAAGTTTACCTATGCCCTCTGGAATTAAGCTAGTAGACAAAATGGAAGAGTTATATTGCTTTGTAAGAAGAAGTTAAGGGAGACCCACTGGTGGAATTCTATTCGATCCTTGCATTTCATTTAGTATTCTCTAGGATATAACTTTTGAATATAAATAATGGCAAAATTGTTGTTTTTAAAAAAGAAGCAGCTTACACCCCCTATTCCCATTAGAGAGTTTCCATTAAGAACTAAGCATTTTCAACCCGAGGACATATTATGATATTTTTAAGCACCTTATTCAAGCAAGCAATCTCACCGATTTCAATGCAGCTAGTCATATGTGTGCACACCTCTGCAAAGACTGACACTTGGGCCCAGAACTCATTTTCACATGACACCAGAAATCTATTTGGATGAAGGTTCATCATGATGAAGACACATTTGGGTCTAAAGCAGACGTTTTTCACAAAATCACAATGTACCGTGATGTTAGATCTTTAATAGTGGAATCTGCCAAACCATCACAGACGAAACCAGTTCATCTGGCCGCTGCTGCTTACACTTCTTGTTCACTCTTCTGTGTCCTTGTCCTCCAGAGATGACCAAGACAGATACTGCTTTTCCTTCTTTGGATCGACATTTTTTACTCCGGCTAAGAGAGACTTCTTTCAAAAGCTCATAGACGGCACTCTCCTCGGGCCTGTGCTCAGTTGTATTTGATCCATGAGACAACGTCAGGGACCCAGAAGATGAAGACAAGTCACTTTTCTGAGCGATGGACCCTACTGAGCCTCCCAGCCAAACAGCACTGTCATTGGGGTTGCTCAGAGAAGAACTAGGTCTCTCACTGTGAACAACGTTCTTTTGGTCCTCATCTTTCAATCCCGAACGAGGACGACTCAGGCTGTGCCTTGGTTTGTTTTTGCTTTTGCTTCTCTTGTTGGTTACAGAGGCCATTACAAGGAACTTAACTGGGCCATTATGCGCATGGTAAGAAACCATTCCTCTTCCTGCAGCCGGGGGAGAAAAAAACACACACCTTCATTTAAAAAAAGAGCAATTCTCATTATCTTGACCTTAATTTCACCAGCCATTCAGTCCTCAGAACAATTTTTTAAATGGTTCTCTGCACATCACAGAACTAAAACCTTGCCAAGTCATAACATTTGCATATTGTTAAGTCAACATGAATTTGGTGACTACTTACTTTGCAATTGCGCAACATTTACTGGAGGGAAGTCAATGTGATGCTCCTGTATCACATGGTAAACTTACCTAAAATGTTATGGGAGAGACCTTGCTACAGGGAAGAGATATATACAGCTGCTTGCCAATGACGTAGTGTGAGGGGCATAGGGGCAGTTGCCCCAGGGATGAATCATTAGGGGTGCAAAAATTCAACATCTGGTGCTGCCTCAATACAGCTGTGTACTTCCGTCGCTGGGCTCCATTGAAAATGGCTTCTGCATGCGAACCAGGAAGTGACCTCTCCACACAACAGAGCAGCTCTTCTTTTCTGATCTCTGTGGCTGCGATCTCCTGGCAGTTGAATGTGCATGCATACTTCGTCCTTTCCCCTCCCACCCATCTACCCCCTCTGCATGGCCCCAGGCACTGGCAACCCATGCTACGCCACTGCTGATCTTTGCTACCTTCTGTTGGGTCCACCTCTACTCATTGATTCAAGCTGCCTATAAACAGATACTTGCAGGTCTCTTTCCATCTTGCTGAGCAATATGATGACCTTGTGCTCCTAAGTACCTTCTCCCTTCTATCGTTTCCCCCCTGATGTTACCCTTCCTGCCTGATTACCTAGGCCTGGATCTACACATGCAAAAAAATAGTAAAGCAAACAAATGCACAATACCATTTCAGACTGCGGGTGAGCAATACCAGTTTTGAGTACCCCTCCATTTACACACATACCCCGCCCTGGGGAACAAAAAACCAGCACACCATAATGGACAAATACCTTTGACTGCTGTGGTCATTTTCCATTTTCTGGGAGGTTTTAGTGTAGGGAAACATAAACAATTGATCATCCGCTGCAGTCTGAAATGGTACAGTCCATTCTGCTACATATATAGGCCAGGAGTTTCCTGCAGTCTTTGGACTGTTCTCCAAAGCCTTGCCCTGACTCTCTCCCTAGATTAAGACAGGTGAACAAGACTAAGCCTTCACAGAATCACAGACTGGTAGAGTTGGAAGGGATTCCCCAAGGATCATCTAGTCCAATCCCCTGTAGTGCAAGAATCTCAACACACTGTCCCCCCCCCATCCAGTTTGAAACCGTACCAGCCCTTGCTTGGCTTTATGAATATTCCAGCAGTTTTGCTTTTTCTTGTTGCTGCACAAAATGTTTTCAGAAGCAGCCTATTATATATACCGGAGTTACCTTATGATTCTAGAACAAATCAGCAAAATTGAGGACATGCAGAGCTAAAGTTGACGTACAGTTCATGCTTTGTTCTCTGTTTTCACAACAGCATGAGTAAGGGAATCAGCTGACATGTTTTGGTTGGCATTTGCACTATCTTAACATTACTAGCTTTCTCCACAATCTGCTGCCAAAGACCTTTTTTTCCAATTAAGCTTAATACTCCGCTCTTGTTGCCCATATACATATTGCTGCTGGCCTTGCTGAAATAGATAACATATTTTACTGGGGAGGCCAGATGAAAGCTTCAAACATGCAGGATCCTTAAGTGCAGTGACATTTATTCTGTAGAGTGTTCAGCTGTTATAGTTTACTGGAGTAAGAAGAGGGGATTTTAAACCACAGGGCATTTTTCTTTACTTGTTAACATATGGACTGGCTGCTAAAAGTAGTTGACCAGTTATAACAGTAGAGGGGGGGAAGCAAACTGCAAAACATAAAGTATCAATGCATTAGGGTTCAGAATTTTATTTGGATTTCAAAGAATACAATGGCTATTAAGCACAGCCTTCAAATTCAGCACATCTTACTCATGTGCAGGGACGCGGGTGGCGCTGTGCTCTAAACCACTGAGCCTCTTGGGCTTGCTGATCGGAAGGTCGGCGGTTTGAATCCACATGGCAGGGTGAGCTCCCGTTGCTCTGTCCCAGCTCCTGCCAACCTAGCAGTTCGAAAGCATACCAGTGCAAGTAGATAAATAGGTACTGCTGCAGCGGGAAGGTAAACTACATTTCCGTGTGCTCTGGCACTTGTCACGGTCCTCCGTGTGCCACTAGCAGTTTAGTCATGCTGGCCACATGACCCAGAAAACTGTCTGTAGACAAATGCCGGCTCCCTCAGCCTCAAAGCTAGATGAGCACCATAACCCCATAGTCGCCTTTCACTGGGCTTAACCATCCAGGGGTCCTTTACCTTTACCTACTCATGTGCAATTACCAATAGGTCCTTGGAGTTTCATATACTGTAGAAGTATTTATAGTTTATTTTTATGCCAGATACTCAATGCAAAAGCTGCTGCAGGAGCCACACAATGTTCTCTAGTGCTTCAGTGTAAGTCATGCATGCGTGTGAGAACAGCTTCCAAAGCACAGTTATCCAGCATTTCAGATCAAATCTCCATTCAGTCATGAAGGTCATTGGTTGACCTGGGGCTGATCATCTTCCCTCAGTTTAGCCAACCTCACAGGGTTGTTGTGAGGGTAAAACAGGGGAGAACTTGTCGACATGCAGAGGGCCGGGAGGCCAGCTGGCTAGTCCCGGCTGGGCCATCTCCTTCCAGCCGTCCTGCTGTGAAGACCCATCACCTCTGCTCCAAAGTAAATCAGTGACCCGGGCTTCAAAGCCAGGGCACACTATCAGCAGATCGAACTATGCACACAGAATAGGCGTGAGGCTTGTGGAAGCATACTACAACTACAGATTTATTAATCATAAATCAGGACAAAGAAACATGTCATCTCTCTCTCTCTCGTCTTCACAGAGAGAATGGGAAAAGCAAAAGCTATACACAAAGGAAGTTCCCAGCAAGCTGTGCTGGAATGTAAACAGACATGTGACATGCAACAGTTCCACACGTCTGCTCCTTAAGGTGGAATGGAAATCTCAACAGAACTATGCTTGTCACCTTGAGCTCCTTGCAGGAAAACACAGGATATAAATGTAATAATAATAATAATGTCATTTTACTTACCAGTTACTTTGGGAATTCCTTGCAAACGAGGAACTGGGAGTGCTACTATTATCCCAAGATTTGTCCCAACCAATAACAAGCCATGGCAAACCAGGAGGCTGGTCACAGAAACACGCTGCTGCCCTATAAGATTGAGAAGGTACAAAGTCACTCCTAAAGTGAGATATTGCATTTATTTACTTATCTTTTAATTAAAATATATTTAGGCCATCTTTAAGGACAACAGCCCTTCTAAGGTGGGTGAGAAGATAAAGATTACATAGAAGAAGAACACCTTAAAAATGAATAAAACAAACAAGAAAACAATCTATTATAAAATTGAGCTTGCTGTAAACAAAACATTTTTTAAAAACCTGCTTTAAGTGTTGTAGACCCTACCTTATACTAACTTTCAAACTTTGTCACAAATGAAGACCTAGCAAGTGTGTGCTCTCTTCTCTTTGTCCAGAACTTCTAGTTCAGACTAAGACTATCCCAACCTAAGCAATCCTTTTTTTACACCAGATTCATAGGGTTTATTCATTGCACAATGAAGCAATTGTGTAAATGCGTAGTTCACAGTTGTATAATTCTGATGAAGTCCTTTTAAAAAAGGAGATATATCTTTACCCATGCATATTCAGCTACTTTAGAAGGAGATGTATTTTTAAGCCTTTCCTTCCTCAACCTGCAAATGTGAAGCAGTGAACCTGCTTTGCACGATGTTGTTCAAAACAATTTGTGTGAAATGACATCTTCGAGTCTCGAATCTTTTTTAAAGGTAGAACCACACATTTCGTATTGTATTTAAAGGGAAATTACTGGTGCATTGCTTAAGGGTGGATATCAAAACAATAAAATATTAATGAAAGGGATAATGCTGGCTCTCTCTGGCGCAGAATGCCTGAATGCTCCATCAGAATGGATCAGAGGGGGTAGCCTTGAATGAATCTGAAAAGTCTGCCCTTCTAGCCAAAAGGTGAATGACACTAAGTTGATCACAGCTGGAAAGAAGACAAAAGTGGAAGGCATCTGTCAGGTTGAAGTCATTAGACCTCCCAAATATTGCCAGAAGCTCCAGCCTAGAGTTGTTTTTAAATGTCAAAATAAATAAACACATATTATACTATATTATATCTAATATAATTCTCAAGAAACAAAATACTTACAGTATTAATGCCTGGTACAACCTGCTCCCCACCTCCCTCCACTAAAAAACCCCCAAACCACACTGAATGGAACCATGCCATTATTTTCTTGGCATGTTAATGCTTATCTAATCACTCAAAGAGGTATGAAGAAGAAGAGGAGGAGTTTGGTTTTGATATCCCGCTTTATCACTACCCTAAGGAGTCTCAAAGCGACTAACATTCTCCTTTCCCTTCCTCCCCCACAACAAACACTCTGTGAGGTGAGTGGGGCTGAGAGACTTCAAATAAGTGTGACTAGCCCAAGGTCACCCAGCAGCTGCATGTGGAGGAGCAAGGACGCGAACCTGGTTCACCAGATTACGAGTCTACGGCTCTTAACCACTACACCACACTGGCTTCTAAATATAGGTAATTAGAAACAGTAATGCAGAGGTAGTCTACCGCTCTTAACCACTACACCACACTGGCTCTCAGTGGGTGGGGCAGAGACAGGTGAGATGAAGGAACCTCAGATTGCTTGGGAAGAAATTGGAGGAGGAAGAAAGCTGGGGGAAGGTGGGGAATTTTAGTCCTTGCAACTGCCTCATGGGGCAAGATCTACTGGGAACAGTTGCTGTGCTCACTAGGCCTAAACTGCTCTGTTTTTCTGAAGAAGGAGTTAACATCACTGACAGCTTGCCGGTTACTGGTGACTTGCTCCCTATTACCCGCCCCGACATAGCGATGGTAGCTAGGATGCCAAACCGTTCGTTTTCAAAGCAAACTTCATTGCTCCTACTTTTACTGCCAGTGAGCTGCTTTGTTATAAAATTAAATGCTACTGCACGACCCTTTTGACCACCTCAAGGAAGCCAAACGATTGTACAAGTGATAAAAGGTAAAGGTAAAGGTACCCCTGCCCGTACGGGCCAGTCTTGACAGACTCTAGGGTTGTGCGCCCATCTCACTCAAGAGGCCGGGGGCCAGCGCTGTCCGGAGACACTTCCGGGTCACGTGGCCAGCATGACATCGCTGCTCTGGCGAGCCAGAGCCGCACACGGAAACGCCGTTTACCTTCCCGCTAGTAAGCGGTCCCTATTTATCTACTTGCACCCGGGGGTGCTTTCGAACTGCTAGGTTGGCAGGCGCTGGGACCGAACAACGGGAGCACACCCCGCCGCGGGGATTCGAACCGCCGACCATGCGATCGGCAAGCCCTAGGCGCTGAGGCTTTTACCCACAGCGCCACCCGCGTCCCCCTGTACAAGTGATACTAGGTAATAAATTACCTGGTCACACAATTATTCCACCTGAGCCATGGCCAAAGTGCTGAATCTGGTTGTATTGCATGATAGGATGGGAAAGGCTCATGGAGGACAAGGCTCTCAATGGCTACTACCCAAGACGGCTATGTTCTACCATCATTGTCAAGTACCGATTGCTGGGGATTCTGCTTATGGGCTTCTTATAGGCTTCTGACCAGCCACTGTGAGAAAAGAATGCTGGACTGCATGGGCCTTTGGTCTCATGCAACTGGGCTTTTCTTATGACTTATTAGGGACGCATGTGGCGCTGTGGGTTAAACCACAGAGCCTAGGACTTGCTGATCAGAAGGTTGGCGGTTTGAATCCACGCGATGGGGTGAGCTCCCATTTCTCGGTCCCAGCTCCTGCCAACCTAACAGTTTGAAAGCACTTCAAAGTACAAGTAGATAAATAGGTACCGCTCCAGCGGGAAGGTAAATGGCATTTCCATGCGCTGCTCTGGTTCGCCAGAAGCGACTTAGTCATGCTGGCCACATGACCCGGAAGCTGTACGCCGGCTCCCTCGCCCAATAAAGCGAGATGAGCGCCGCAACCCCAGTGTCAGCCATGACTGGACCTAATGGTCAGGGGTCCCTTTGTTGTTGTTGTTGTTGTTTAGTCGTTTAGTCGTGTCCGACTCTTCGTGACCCCATGGACCAGAGCACGCCAGGCACCTCTGTCCTCCACTACCTCCCGCAGTTTGGTCAAACTCATGCTGGTAACCTCGAAAACACTATCCAACCATCTCGTCCTCTGTCGCCCCCTTCTCCTTGTGCCCTCCATCTTTCCCAGCATCAGTGTCTTCTCCAGGGAGTCTTCTCTTCTCATGAGGTGGCCAAAGTACTGGAGCCTCAGCTTCACGATCTGTCCTTCCAGTGAGCACTCAGGTCTGATTTCCTTAAGAATGGATGCATTTGATCTTCTTGCCGTCCATGGGACTCTCAAGAGTCTTCTCCAGCACCATAATTCAAAAGCATCAATTCTTCGGCGATCAGCCTTCTTTATGGTCCAGCTCTCACTTCCATACATCACTACTGGGAAGACCATGGCTTTAACTATACGGACCTTTGTTGGCAAGGTGATGTCTCTGCTTTTTAAGATGCTGTCTAGGTTTGTCATTGCTTTTCTCCTAAGAAGCAGGCGTCTTTTAATTTCGTGGCTGCTGTCACCATCTGCAGTGATCATGGAGCCCAAGAAAGTAAAATCTCTCACTGCCTCCATTTCTTCCCCTTCTATTTGCCAGGAGGTGATGGGACCAGTGGCCATGATCTTCGTTTTTTTGATATTGAGCTTCAGACCATATTTTGCGCTCTCCTCTTTCACCCTCATTAAAAGGTTCTTTAATTCCTCCTCACTTTCTGCCATCAAGGTTGTGTCATCTGCTTATCTGAGGTTGTTGATATTTCTTCCGGCAATCTTAATTCCAGCTTGGGATTCATCCAGCCCAGCCTTTCGCATGATGTATTCTGCATATAAATTAAATAAGCAGGGAGACAAAATACAGCCTTGTCGTACTCCTTTCCCAATTTTGAACCAATCAGTTGTTCCATATCCAGTTCTAACTGTAGCTTCTTGTCCCACATAGAGATTTCTCAGGAGACAGATGAGGTGATCAGGCACTCCCATTTCTTTAAGAACTTGCCATAGTTTGCTGTGGTCGACACAGTCAAAGGCTTTTGCATAGTCAATGAAGCAGAAGTAGATGTCTTTCTGGAACTCTCTAGCTTTCTCCATAATCCAGCGCATGTTTGCAATTTGGTCTCTGGTTCCTCTGCCTCTTCTAAATCCAGCTTGCACTTCTGGGAGTTCTCGATCCACATACTGCTTGAGCCTTCCTTGTAGAATTTTAAGCATAACCTTGCTAGCGTGTGAAATGAGTGCAATTGTGCGGTAGTTGGAGCATTCTTTGGCACTGCCCTTCTTTGGGATTGGGATGTAGACTGATCTTCTCCAATCTTCTGGCCACTGCTGAGTTTTCCAAATTTGCTGGCATATTGAGTGTAGCACCTTAACAGCATCATCTTTTAAAATTTTAAATAGTTCAGTTGGAATACCATCACTTCCACTGGCCTTGTTATTTGCAGTGCTTTCTAAGGCCCATTTGACTTCACTTTCCAGGATGTCTGGCTCAAGGTCAGCAACCACACTACCTGGGGTGTACGAGGCATCCATTTCTTTCTGGTATAGTTCCTCTGTGTATTCTTGCCACCTCTTCTTGATGTTTTCTGCTTCTGTTAGGTCCTTTCCACTTTTGTCTTTTATTATGGTAATCTTTGTACGAAATGTTCCTTTCATATCTCCAATTTTCTTGAACAGATCTCTGGTTCTTCCCATTCTGTTGTTTTCCTCTATTTGTTTGCATTGCTCATTTAAGAAGGTCTTCTTGTCTCTCCTTGCTGTTCTTTGGAAATCTGCATTCAATTTCCTGTATCTTTCACTATCTCCCTCACATTTTGCTTGCCTTCTCTCCTCCGCTATTTGTAAGGCCTCGTTGGACAGCCACTTTGCTTTCTTGCATTTCCTTTTCATTGGGATGGTTTTCGTTGCTGCCTCCTGTACAATGTTACGAGCCTCCATCCATAGTTCTTCAGGCACTCTGTCCACCAAATCTAAATCCTTAAACCTGTTCGTCACTACCACTGTGTATTCATAAGGGATTTGACTTAGATTGTATCTTACCGGCCCAGTGGTTTTTCCTACTTTCTTCAGT